GCCGGGCCTGAGCCCCGTAGCGCCTCCATTGCTCTTCCAGCAAAACCTCGGCCCTTGGCGGGTCTCTGAGGTTTGGGTGAAGTGGCCGCCCCCCACGCTGGCACAGGAGACGGATTCAACATTGGTCCCTGCATGGCCCGCTTTCATGTGCTTGTTTGTTGTTTGTTAGTAATGTGATAAGCACCCAGGACGCCATCGCTCCAGACAAAGGCCAGGCCCTTGGTAGTTTCCTATATCCAGCCATCCGGTCCCACTCCTCTCTCACTCCTCCCACCCCCCAGCCAACAGCACCTCAATCCCGGTGCCTCATTCCCTCGCTTTCCTTTATTCCATTACATCCACATGCATTTCTAAATGCTTTTTAAAAGTTATTTTAGGCTTTGGGCTTTCTTCACTGAATTGTACTTGCTCACCATGTTGTGTGAGCGGCTGTAACCCATTTGTTTCACCTGCTGTGTGACGGTCCCATGTGGCACCCAGGTTTCTCGCACTCTTCCTCCTGCTGGGACTTGGTGTGTGGTCCTGACTGTGGCACCAGGTGCCGCAGACATCACTCCCCAGGCCCTGGTGCCACCCCACCCCCCAACTCTTCCCCTCACTTGCCACACGCCAGCAATGCGAGCCGCTCTGTGCACACTCCACGCTCATCCCTGCCCCAGGGCCTTTGCACCTGCTGCTTCCCCTTCCTGAAAGGCTTTTGCTGGTCTGGCTCTTCTTCATCCTTCTGGTTTTGGTCCACTGTCACGTCCTCAGGTCCCTGCCCTGGCCCACCTGGGTCTGCAGCCCTCCCCTCCCAGAAACGGTCCCCATGAGCCCAGGCCTTCCTAGGGGATGAGGGCGGGGCTCCAGTGGATGTGGGGTGAGAGACGGGCCAGAGAGGCTAAGTGACAGCAGGTGGAAGAGGCCTCGAATGCCACGCCAGTGCGGCTGCATCCCCGTCCTTCCGTGTGTTAGGACAGTGCCCCAGAAGTGCCTCCTGCAGCCGGGGCGCTCCTCCAGGCCTCTGGGGGGCAGCTGCCGTATATACCTGAATATAAGGCAAGTGGGTTTTCCCCAATTTATCCCTCAGAAAAGGGGTTGCTACATTGTGAGTCTTTTCATAGTTTTACGTTTTATGGGGCATGTGTTCAATTACTTTATTTTGAAAACAAAGTTCTGGTTGGGGATTTCATGTCAGACTAAAACCACCTCTGGTATTTGGGGCACTTCTGAGGGTTACCTGTACCCTCGAGGGCGTGGGGAGGGGGTCACCAGGCCGAAGGGTGTGACTGAATGGCGAGGGCTGCCCGAGGTGACACAACCAGCCATGTTGTTTCCTTGGAAGGGTGGGGGCTGCAAGGCTCAGTGGGCCCATCTCCCTGTTCTTCCGAGGGGGAACTGAGGCCTGGGGAGGCAGGGACCTGCTCCTGGAGCGGCAGATTTTGTCAAGTCAGTGTGAGCGGAGGACAGCACGCGGGCACAGAGGACATGGGTCCTTCTGCTCTCCTGGCTCTGAAGGCACGAGTGATGTTGTGGGGGAAGCACAGCTTTGGAGCCCTGAGACCCAAGTTCCCAGCTTCCCCGCTAATCAGCTGTGTGACCTTGGGCAAGTCACCTCCCCTCTCTGAACCTGTTTTCTCCTCTGCTGAGTGGATGTAGAGTAGTGGCCTGTCCTAGAGTGTTGTGAGGCTCCAGATTCTGCAGAGTGGGAGGGGGTGTGAGGGGATGGCCTCTCTCCAGTGGCCCAAGCAGCAGTGGGGTGTGAGCCTGCAGTGCTCAGAAGGGCAGGGCTGGGTGGCTGTGCTGCTGTCCTCACAGCCCTCTGCCCAGCAGGTCCCACGACTCTCACCACAGGAACATGTGTTTGCCTTGAATGTCTTGTAAAACTCACAATTTGTTCAAAAGAATAAACAGCATGAAAGGGGATGCAGAGCCTTTATCCAGGGCTTGTGTGTGTGTGTGGGGGGGGGGCAGGGTGGCTGCTCAGAGGCTGGTTTCCATTTAAACCAGATTTGCAGGCGCCGCTTTCAGCTCTGGGAAGCCCCGGCTGGCGCAGGCTGTTGCTCGGCTCTGGCCGTGGATGAAGGACCAGGGCCTCGCTTTCTCCATCTGTGAAATGGGGACAACAGCATTGCTCTACGCACTATGGGATTAGTGCATCACGGTGTTGAGAACAGCACCCAGGAAGGTGAGCCCTTATTCGTACAGGTGCATGCACCTCACGACACCCAGAGGGGTGGGCGCTGGGACAGGGCGCCTGGGGCTGGGAACCTGGGAGGCCTCTGGCCAGATGAAAGAGGCAGACGTTTCCTGGAGGAGAGGACACCGGGTCCCGATATAAACGGAGGGCAGGTTGCACAGTGTGTCCAAAGGGCATGCAGTCTCGGTCCCCTTCCTGCCCCAGGACAGCCCCTGCAGCCTGTCAGGGCCTGGCTCCTCCCACCAGCCATCCAGACAGCAGGCAGGCCAGTGCAGGTGGGAAGCTGAAGGGATGGCCACTAGGGGGCGCCAGGACCCAAGCCTACCAGGTACTCTGAGCAGAGCGTTCCCTCGTCTTTAATTGGAGGGGACCACTGGCTGCAAGAACTGAAAGTTCCTCAAGAACTGAAGGCTCATCCTGTCCTTGAGAGGCGGCGGGAGGCCCAGCGCAGCCCCGGTTCTGCCAGGTTCTGGGTACGTCTCTTCCAGTGCTTTCTGGGCCAGGTTCCCCCTGGTCAGTGTGGTGGGTGTGGGACAGAGGAAGGTGCAGCCCCCGGGAGAGGGCCCCTGCCTGGGCCTCCGCACCCCACCCTGCAGTGACCTGGTGCTGCCGGAGGAGGCGCCTCCTGCTCTTTAGGCCTTGACGTTGCTGGACCCTGCAGTGACCTGGTGCTGTCGGAGGAGGCCTCCATTAGTGCCCCTGGGCAGGAGGCGCCTCCTGCTCTTTAGGCCTTGACGTTGCTGAGGATGTGTCCACGCTGGTCTAACCCTCTCCGCCCCGAGGAGGCTGGTATGGAAACAGGCACAGGGAGCTGGATGCTTTGAGGCCCACAGCAGGGGCGCTGAGCTCTGGGTCTTGGGCTCTGTTTCTTCCCCATTTGCCGTGTCTCAGAGAGGCAGACGCCCCTGGGGTCAGGGCCAGGGCCATGTGTACTCATCAGCCCGCAGAGGGCCGCCAAGCTGGAGGAAGGGCGCTGAGCCCGACCAAGCCCTGGAGCCTGGGCTGCAGAGCTTAGGGGCCTGGGAGTGGGGTGGGGTCTGCATGGTACCAGTTGCCCCAGTGGTTTCTGAGTAAGGGCCCCCAGAAACCTCCCTGTAGGCTCAGGTAGCCTGTGCGGGGGCACCAGCGGGACGTGCCGAGCCCAGCACTAGCCGACTCCGCTCCAGGTAGGGCCCTCTGTGCACCCCCTCCCGCTCCGCCTCTGAGACTCACAGCCCAGAGCGGGAGATGCCCACGCACAGCAGGCGACGCGGGTGCTGTGGCCCGTGCCGGGACCTGGAAAGCTAAAGGAAGAGGGGACAGCACGGACAAAGGCCTGACACAGAGCATAATGGAAAAGAACGGGTCTGGTGGGAGGGGGGGCAGAGCTCTGATACAGACTTTAAACTGGGGTCAGGGGGGCTCGGATGTCTTCATTGCACTTTTACTTGAAAGCCTCCCACCAGCCTGGGGGCTCCCTTGCCGATTTTCTGCACTAGACCTCCCCTAGCAGAGGTGCTGGTGCCCCCCAAACATTACACCTTAGTAGTGAGCTGCCCCACTGGCATGCAGGTTGGAGGGGCAGGGGAGTGGGGTGGGTGGGAGCTGAGGTTGCAAAAGTAGGAGAAGAGGGGTAATGGGGAGGGGGAGGGGTGCGCAGGGAGCAGCTGATTTGTTTTAGAGCAAGAGGCTCTGGGCTGCGTTCTGAACTGTGGCATCAAAGGCGGCCTGGAGACGTGTGCAGAATGAGGTGAAATATTATGGAAATTGTCTCCCCTGCTTTGTGGCCTGCGAGTTCACGGTCACTGAGAAGAGTTTCCCCGGGCCCCCTATTTCTCTCTTTGAAGGGAAAGCTTTTGGATCAAATAAATACAAATCATGGTCATACGTTTCTTCTGAACGCAACTGGCTTCACCAGCCGTAACCGAAATGGACTGAGCTTTTGTCAGGCTGTCCCTCCAGCAGCCGCGGGGCAAGCAGCTCACCTCGGAGACCCACACGATCACATTCCCGTCCTGCCTCCCCTGGGGCCACTGCCTGCCCGTGGAGGACGCAGCTCGGGCCGACG